AGCTTCGTCAGGAGCTCCGTCAGGAACTGGATTTTCAACCTCTGTCAATTCTACCTCAACTTGCATATCCCCATCATGGTTAAAAAAATGGTCAACCTCCGTTGAGGACTGAGACATACCTGGCTACAATAAAATAAATCACAGCAAGTTATTGACGTTAACAGAGCAAATGAGGTAAGCATCTGTGAGTTCAACGTTCAGAATGATTCATGTGGATTCATAAACAATTGTTGTAAAAAATCACGTGTTCCATGTGCTATTTTTGTTAAATGAGTTCCTCCAAATAGGAATATTACATAATATTAGCAGATGTATTCCTCATGCGGAAATTTATGTACCTTTTCTTATAAGCACCTCTTATAAAAATATAAAATTCAGGTGCAGCAGCTTTGTCTGTAGTTAGTTCAGAATATCTTTTGAAATCAAACATTATCTTTTTGAAATTGCATTTTTGTTTTGTGAAATTGCTTGTTACTTATTTGAAATCACATTTTTGCTTTTTGAAATTCGATCTTATCTTTTTGAATTCCAACTTTTTGTTTGTGAATTTGGACTTTCGACTTTTGAATTCGTAATTTAGGTTTGTGAATTTGGACTTCAGCTTTGTGAATTTGGAATTCAGCTTTGTGAATTTGGACTTCATCTTTGTGAATTCGGACGAAAAAAGGTGTAGTCACTACTATTCACATTAACCCGCGCCCGGCTGGGGATCCTGGATTTCCACGCCCTGCTGGGGGGGGGGGGGGGTGTTTGAACACCCCCCCCCCCCTTCTAACTCGGCTCCTGGGCCACGTAGCGAAACGCGGAAGGCGGCGTTCGAAAGAGCGCCAAAAATAATGACGAAATCACTTCGGTCACTTTTTTGGTCAGGTCAAAGGTCAGGTCACCAGAGGTCATTGAAGGCAAAATTTCGCCGATTTTCAGGTCGAATGTCGACAATTTCCAGGAAGCCAACGCATAACTCGGGAACCAATAGAGCTACAGCGCCGCGGAAAAGCGCATTCGATAGCCCTATTAACGCCCTTTCTGAGTAATTATCTCATATTTGACCTATCGTCAACGGTTTTGCCTGCAGGGGGCAAAAACTGCAAAAATAGCCGATTTTTTTTTCGGAAACAGTTTTTCTGCAATAACTTTTGACCCAAGCCTTGTACGAGCTTACTTTTATCGGCATCGTGTTCCTCTCGTCAAGACGCATCGAATGAACTGTAACTTGACCTTGAAAGGTCAACTTGAAAATTTGACCTCAGGTCAAGGTCATGACCTGACCGGAAAGGGTCATGTTGCATATCAGTCGATCCGTATCGTCGAGCTGAACACATCTAAGGCGTTTTCATCGCTCTAGCATGCCTCTATCAAAAGTTATTTGCGAAAAACTGTTAGATACCATTCGTGACCTAAGATGACCTCAGGGCATAAACAGGGGTCAAGGACACCATTTTCATGTTCAGTGTGTCTAAACCACTTGTAATTCAGTGTTTGGGAGTGTTTATAATGTCTTTCGTCCAAAAGAGGCGCATTTCAATTTTCTCCCATTGACTTATAATGGGGAGGTCGCAAAATTGACCTGACCTTAGGTCACCGATATCAAAATTCCAAGATATACATTTGATAGATACTGTTACCCTTATTAATCGCTGAAAGTTTCAAAGCGATCGGTCACTCGGTGTAGCTATGGCAGACATTGAAACTTTTTATGAGGTGAGGTCACTTCAAGTGACCTGGTGACCTGACCTTGAATGACCTTGGTCTGAAATTTTCACAACATGTGTAGAATTGATGTATGATAAGGTGTACCAAAAACGGCGGCGCTCCGCGCCGCCGTTTTTGAGATATTCGCAACAAACCACAAGGGGGGGGGGGGGTGTTCAAACACCCCCCCCCCCAGCAGGGCGCGGGTTAAATGAATATAATAAAGATCATTTTCAAAATGCTTTATTCTATTCTTTATTAGCTATTTATCATTTACATATTTCTAATTATATTTATATTGCATTTATGAGCAATGCTAATTTGCTAATAATCTCTGAATAAGCGGGTATCTGTGCTATAGTGCAAACAAGTATTTTTGTTCTAAACTGTCTGATACTAAAAATGGCATGAATATCACTTACATCAATAAAACATAGTTGTAAAATTAAGAACTGTTGTTCTCCTGATTCACCCAGTCCTTATTGAATCATACTAGCATACCGTCCGATCACCATGTATGGCTGGCTGATAAACAGCAAGGCTAAAGACGGATCCGTCTTCTGAATTCCATGCATGTCGCTGCAGATACCGTATATAGTTCCCATGCTCTCTCCCTTCCTCCCCCACAGGCCCCTTATCTTTCGCTCCCAGCGGGGGTCCTTACTGAGGAGCGTCACGAGACAAGTACTCTCTTAGTCAAATCACGAGCGTTTACTGGTCAAACGTCAGCTATCTCGAGTATTTGTCTACTGGGCGTCGGAGCCTTCTGTTACAAGACACTGTCCGATATTCGGTAACACGTGGGTTGGTACACGCGTGGGGGGAGGGGTGTCTGACCTACATGAGTGGAGATGTGTGTGGGGGGGGGGCAGGGCCACGTGTTACCGGGGGTCATTAGGTCATTCCCACGACTTGTGAGAAACTTGTTGTGGACGGCGTCGGGGGCTTGCCATTCTACAGCTGATTTTAGTGCATGGTGATTAGACGAATAGCCGCTCGTGCCGGGCACATGCTCACTAGCATTTTCTTTTCTTTTTTCTTTTAGCTGCTTTGTGTAGATCAGCGTCTTCCCATGCTTGACTTTGGCGGAGCCGTCTTCCGAAAATGCTCGTATGTTCGTAACTTCATACCGTTTACCTACATGCCGTGTCAAATCTTGGATTCGATTTTCCTGGAAAAAAATGTTTCTAGAGGTTTTATGATAGTTGCATTGCATCTGACATGCTTGACATGCTGACATTAGTTTGAACCATTTGTCGTAGCTTTTGAATGTTCTAAGATTGTTGATACTGATAGCTGAAGTTCAACGTTACATGTTGATGCCAACTATCTGTCCACGTTGTATAGAACGGTTGATCGTTGCTGTTCCGACTCCCCATCCCCTCCCACAACACTGTCTGTCTTGAGTGTGCTCCACCGCCTGTCAATATCGCCCCTTGGAGAGGCGACCTTGCTCATTTCTCACACACGATTGAGGATATCCGAATCGCCGAAGTATCATTGTTGCGACCTTGAAGACATGAAGGTTGGCATGAGGTAGTTGGTCACAAGATACACTTCAGTTAAGTTATGAACCGGTAGCAAGAGTAAGAGCGATTTGCTGTTGATCACTTAGGATGTTGAAAAAGGGTACTTTTAGAACTCTGTAGACTTACGACTCACCGCTGCGCTGTAGTAGAATGATCTGAATTTTCCCCTCGTGCTGCATTCCGTCGATCGTTTTTGCTGTTTTATTGACCTCCATTCCAAGTAACGTTGGTGGTCCGTAAAGCCAATTTCATTAGCCATAATGTCGGCTGGATGGATCGTAAACGCTGGAATGGAAATGCATCTCCTTTACTTTTGACCCGCGGCATTGTCACACAAAAGTGCTGGAGTCCATTATCATTTCCACAAAACAAATTATCACCGAAGGTAATAGACGCGGCACGCACGCCTAGACATTCTCTTTTCTTACTTGATGCCACTTTTATGGCGCTCCTCATATCTATTTTCTGGCCCGTCTCGATACATTCACCTGTCAACTTGTCAATGCTATCGAGGAGCTGAGCTCGTTGATCAGCGATTAACAGACCTGGTATTATCATGCAACGAGTCCTTTGTATACAGTTGAGTGCATATCCACTTTATGTCTGATCTGATAGCCGCCATGTGGTGGTGGTACTGAGAGCACATGGCACGGTGCAATGCGGCGTGGTATTGTAACAAATTCTTACCGCATCTTTTCCTGATTGCTTGCAGCGCTGATGACGTCTTTTCTTTATGTGTATTGTGTATTCGTGCTGTATGCTTGTGTTCATTGGAATGCTGAAATGTTTGCTATGTCTTTGCCTACCATGCATGGAATGGAATGCGATGGCTCAACTAAGAAGAGATGGTTGGCCTACGATTTTGATAGAACTGTTGCGTGTATTTGTAGTGTCTTCTTGGGACCTTTTTGGCCTGATCATCGCACCTTCGAATTTAGTCTACGTTGTCTTCTGATTATTTTCGATGGGTTTACGTTTTCGTTGCTTGCTTCTCTGGCATTTGTTTGGTGCTCTGAGAAATCGATGATTGGGAGTGATTCTTTCACTCAAACTCTAAACTACTCCGAGAGTCATTTGGGCGATACAACTTCCATCAACCTAACCGTTAAATGGCACCCTATCGCCGCTCCACTTTCTGAGAGATGCGTGCCTTTCTAAAATGTTTGCTGATGGATGGTTGATTCTTGTCGCGGCTCCACGAACCATCCACAGATGGCGTCTCTCTCAGGCCACGATCGTGTTGGAAATGCCACGTGCCGGAGACGGGACGGCATGGCACGGTAGGGGCGGAGGGCGCACTGACCAGATCTGGGGTGTTCGCGGAAACAACCACTGTCTGACACGGATTTGTGGTGAGATCTTGGTAAAGGGTGATCTCGGTAAAGACATTGGGAGATCAAAGAAAAGAGGAAGGATCTTGGCTTGAGTCTCAGAGACAAACACAAACACAAACACAATCCATGAGCGCACGAACAGCCAAACACACAGTGCTTCAATTCTCACAAACACAATCACACGGGCGACGAAACTACAGGTCTACTCGGCGCGTCTGGCTTCCTCTGATGCTAACGGCTCGACTCATCGCTACCTTCACGTCGCCAGTGAAACGAACGGTCGAGGTGCCTGTGGAGCCTCAGGTGGGGCCGCCGGTCTCTGAAAGCCATTTGTCCGGCGCCGGTCGGCCGGCAGCTCCGACGACCCGCGGCGGCGGCGGCGCGCCGACTGACCACGAGCGGCGGCGGCGGCGGCGGCGGCGGCCGACCGGCCGCTCACTCGTCATTCGGTGCCTGCCCGGCGTACAGTCTGTCTTAAAAGTACCGCGCAAAGTGACGGTGGATCCATCGAGCCTGACTGAGCAAGGGCCTGCTAAATTTGGGTCACTGAAGCAACTGACATCCTTATCCATTCCCTAGGTCAATTGGTCGGTGACTTTTAAATTAAAACAGGCCCTTTCTCGGTCAGGCTTGATGGATCCACCGCCACTTTGCGCGGTACTTTTAAGACAGACTGTACAGGCCACACTCGCGTGTCCGCCGCCTTACTCAGTTCGAGTCAGAACGAGTCGAGTTTGACCTCATCCCGCACCTGATTTCCATTGGATATCCCGATCGCTGACTGCTGAGCTGACACATCCCCTGCTGACAATTTCCGTTCCGCTGCCGACCCCTCACCCCCTCCGCCCCCTCCGGTCCGATCCAGCCCGATAGGTGAACCTCATTTGCATCCACTTCCGATTCACGAGACCCACCGCCTTAAAATTCGCGCGCTCCGTCTGCCCTCACCACACCACTCGACGCCTGAGCTCCTGGCCAGTGCCCGCGGCGTTTTTCTGTGAGGTCATCTGTGACGTCATCGTCGAGGTCACCAAGGTCACTGAGAGGCTCCGTCATGACCGTCGTCCGTCAGTATGAATGTGAGTACCGAAGGGTGGCTGATGCCACAGCTGGCACCTCCCAGCTGACTGACTGCGTCTCATGGGGCGGGGACTGGGCCGCCTATTGTCCGCTGACTTTGCCCTGCAGGTGTGGCGAGGTACCCCGCAACCCCTCCTTTCGTGCTGTTCTCGACCCTGATCAATGACTGCCTGTGGCAGGTGGACGTTCGCCTATCGCAACAGATGTTGAATTTGATTTATGTGTGATGACACCTGTGGCTTAGAGCAGGCTACAGTTGGAAACGCTCCACTCTTTGGACGACTCGAATAACTGGGGAGCAGTTTTGAGGAAATGTTGATATTATTATTCTTACTTGCTAATGCGCTTCAAAATATTATGCATTTTACACGTATCCTAAATGGAACTTTTTTAACACGTAAACGACATTTTCAATGTCCACACCGGAGGACCTCCCAGCCGGTGCTTGCAGTCCATGATCATTTGTTCATTCATTGTTGATCTTCGCCATGGCCTACTCCATTCTGCGAATTGAAATCACCTGTCCCTCCTGATTGTCTCATACTGTTCTTACCTTATAATATTTACCCGTTTTGATAGCAAAAAAGCATGAACACAAAATATCTACTGAAACTGACGCGCACTGAAAGCTCCACCAGCCAAAGCTTCACGTCCCCTGCACTATTTTCCCGAGTCCGCCCCATGACATTTCCCACCCCATGTCCCACTGACGCTCGAGCGGGGACCGGCGGACGGCCACCGCACAGTGTCGGGCGTCTGCCCCGGGGCGGTGCACGAGCGACCGGTGCACCGGTGTGGGCCGGTGTGCACCGTGCACCGACTGTGCATACTGAGTGGGGAGGGGGAGGAGGGAGGGGGATGAGTTTAGGAGCGGGGTGGAGGGGAGATGGAGAGATAGAGGGAGGGAGATGGGAGGAGGAAACGGTGGGAGAAGGTTAGAGAGAATAGAGAGGGATAGAGAGATAGAGATAAAAATAGGGAGGGAGAGGAGGGAACGGTGGGATGGGCTTTGTGGTTTTGTGATTTGATTTTCTCAGAACGGCGGATGAAGGAAAGCGATGAATATGCATGCAGACAATGAAGTCTACCTACCTTTTTGGACTCGAGTAGTGAAATTGTGGAATAGTAAAACACACGACTGCAACCATCGTGAAACGAAACATCAGTAATAGGGAAAGATCACCACCTGACGCTGTGTGAAAGGCAACTTTGCGCTTTGAATACCTGTAGTGAATGTGACGATGGTTGATGATAGGATGTATTGAGAATCCGTGTCTGTCACGGCTTAACACGGATGGACACGGTTTGCAAACAACAGTGACGTCACTATGTCATGCATGACAGCTTGCATCATTCTGCCGTGAAAGGGATCTAAATAAAGGCTCCATTCAGGGGTCACCATGAGACAATGTCACAATAGGTGCATAGGACATTCATTGTTCCTTGTTCCGGAGCTACGCTGCCGATTTATCGGTAAAAATTTAGTGGCTCTAACTCCACGTGACTTGACACCCTAAGCGAGCACGTAAACCACGTGGTTTGCCGCCAACCCGGGGCTTTCGGTAACGCCATATTTGTCGGTGGCCTGATCGGTCAGACTAAAAATGGGTGGCCTTGTCGTGACCAGGGCGGTGATGGCACACAGTTCCAATTGCATGGATGGTTTTGGCCATGTGGGCTGATTTAGGAATACCTACTGCTGGCACGTTGATGGGTGGCCAGTAGCATGGTAAAATGGTCAGTTTAATGGCTGCTGATGTGGGCATTTCTTAGCTCCAGTGCGAGAATTTACAAGGCAGCGAAAAGTTCAGGGAAGTGAGTTGAGCTTGGCGAGGCATGATCCTACTGTGGTGTTAATTGATCTGGCGTGAAAAGTGATGTCATGAGCTAGTGTTTCTCGAGTTTTTTTTTACCAGAAGAGTGACATGATGTGACGTGAATGACGCGGCGTGACGTGAAAGCCCAATCCGTTTTTTCCGCTCGTCAAAAGGGAAAAGAGTCATGCAATTCAAACGGCATATTTAAAAGAACATCGGGCATTATATAACAGATAGCAATGTCAAAACATTAACTTGTAAACTAGCGAGTTATGACGATCGTATCATAATCATGAATTATTGATGTGTGATCTTGTCAATGAAATTTGCATGCGGTTGGAAAAAATATCCTAAATGAATTCGTGAATATTATTGTCATCCCCGTGGGATACAATTGCGTCGCTAAACGTCTCCTTTGCATTTAACTTATCTAGCCTGTTGACTTCCTCAGCATACAAGCTTTCCCTACAGACTTTCCATCACCCTTCCATCATCACCCTCATTCCTATCCCCACCCACCACTCCCACCCACTACCCACCCATACTCCTCCCGCCTCTGCCCTCTGCCCGTCTCCCCACGTGCCGTCCCGTTATCTCTCACCGCCCGCCGCCCGCCCGCCGCGGCGCCGCGCCGGTCACTTTTTGCCGACGTTTTGCCTCCCCGAGGTGTGCCCCGGGGCCTTGGCGATGTACTCAGTACGGGCTGTTACCTTTTCCGTTCACTGTCGCTCGGACTTCTCACGCTTTATGGTGTGGTGGGGCCTGTCGGGCGGTATTCTGTGGGGTTTTATTCGAGAAATGTGTGGTGCAGTGCGTCACTGCGCTCGGTGTTATTCGAGCGGAAATGTAGACCAGCGGCCTTGTGTGTTGAGTTTTCCGAAAACTGTTTTATTTGCGCCCACCAAATTCGTTATTTCTTACCTTCGTTTCAGCTAAATTATAGACATCGTCCTTGGGTATATTAAATGTAAAGGAAAGTACCATTATTTTTTACAATGTTATCACCTCTGTCTCACCCCAACACCACCACATTTGGCAAAATCCGAACAGCCCTTCCCAAACTAGAGATTTGTAGCGACCCCACACTCCCCAAACCCAGGAGTTGCAGCGATCACACTCCCAACACTCTCCCCGCAGGGGGCTGACCGTGGTCAGAGCTGATGCTTAACCGGGGTCATCTGGCCCCGGCTTTGCGGCGGCTGTGACTTCGGCCAGTAAGGGGAGTAGCGCCCCCTCGGCCCCAGCTTGACGCGCGTTTGACCTGGACTTGCCTTGCTTACTGGATGGATTGTCTGCAGGATTGGCCCCGCAGGGGGCTGACCGTGGTCAGAGCTGCTGCTTAGCCGGGGTCATCTGGCTCCGGCTGTGCGGCGGCTGTGACTTCGGCCAGTAAGGGGAGTAGCGCCCCCTCGGCCCCAGCTCGACGCGCGTTTGACCTGGACTTGCCTTGCTTACTGGATGGATTGTCTGCAGGATTGGCCCCGCAGGGGGTTGGCAGTGGCCGGGGTCGCTGTTGGACTGGGTTCCTTGGGCCTTTGCCCCGTGGCGGCCTTGGCCTCGGCCAGCAAGGGGAGTAACGCCCCCTCGGCCCCAGCTTGACCCATGCTTGCTTACGACTTGCTTTGATCGCTGGTTGGACAGATGGTACGGCCCGATTTTTCTTGGTTTTCGTGGTTTTGTTTCTCTTGAGCGGTCTCTGTTTGCTTTTGCTTTGCTTCTCACCGGATGTCCGCGTTTCGTTCGATCACAGCTTTCTGATTCTTTTCCTACCTTTTTTTTCGTTGTTTTTGCACCCGCAGGAACACAGCCGAGTTGGGCTAGTGTAAGGGGAGTGGCGTCCCCTCGGGTACCAGCCGGTTTTACTAGGCTAGGCGAGCCGACCCGTACCCCAGGACAACGGGATCCTGGAGGTTGAGCCCCCCACCGTGCGGAGCCAGTCGCGGTGGCTGGGCAACACGCCTCTTTGGCCCTGAGTTCTGTAAGGGCGGGACACTCAGTGGGGCGCCGCACTTGAGGAGCCATTCCCAGTCGTGACGCCGCCGGGGGTGGTGTCTGAGAGGTGTCGCCGGCGGGGTTCGGGCACTTGTGCTCGTCCTCCGTCGGTGGGACTGATCTGTCGCTGCCCCTGGCGGTGACTCGGCTAGGCGTCAAGGGAGGAGGCGGTATCCGACCGTGGGGGGTGGTGAGTCTCTCTCTCCCCCGCGGAAGGTGCCGCCAAGTCCCGTACAGTCAGCTCGGCCGTCCTAGGCCTTGTAGCGGCGCCGTTGCGGAGCGTCGGCGGCCGAGCTGGCGGAGACCAACTCTTTCACATGGATAACTTGACCGATCCCCCTTCCCCCCAGTCCAATCCCTCGGCCTCGGCCGATCCTCGCCCGTTGGCCTCGGCCGACAGGCGAACGGTGCTCGACAAAGGTCCACGATCTCCTAAGATCCTTATCTTCCGGAGCGCAGACAGGGAGCTGAGCTCTCTGTCGCCCTTCCAGCGGAAGGATGGCTGCGACCGGTTTGGTTCAATCGTTCGTTGTGACCGGATGCGTGATGGCGCGCTGGAGGTCGAGTTCAGGAAAAGCGAGGAGGCGGCGAAAGCGTTGGACGCTACTCGCTTCGTGTTCTCCGAGGGACGGGCATCCGGCCGGAGGCTCGTCTCCATCCCGCTTACAGTGGAGCCCCACCGCTCTAAGAACTCCTCACGAGGGGTCATTAACTGCTTCGATCTGAGGGGAGTGAGCGACGAGGACATTGCGGACGGGCTCGCCGAATTCGGCGTGACAGCGGCTCGCCGCATCATGACGAAGAGAGGCACGGTCTCGACCAACAACATCATTCTGACTTTTGACTCTACTGACTTGCCGAGTGAGATTCGCGTGGGCTACGTGAAGGTTCGCGTGCGGCCTTTCGTCCCAGCGCCCATGCGCTGCTTCCGCTGCCAACGTTTCGGCCACACAAAGGACAACTGCCGAGGAAGACCCACGTGCTCCAAGTGTGCTTCGCAGGACCACACTGACGAAACCTGTGACTCGGAGACCCCCCGATGCGTCAACTGCGGAGAGGGGCAGACGCCGCACTCCGCGTATGAAAGGTCTTGCCCTGCATACGTCAAGGAGAAAGAGATCATGACCATCAAGGCTACCAGAAATTTGTCTTTCAAAGAGGCCCGGGAGGTGTACAACCAGAGTCACCCG